TCCTTCAATTCTGTTTTTTTTTTGTACGCTCGTTTTTTTTGTATTTATCCCTGAGAAGAGTGGGGGTAAACTCTTAGAAAAAATCGGAATCATAATTGTACCAAATAACATTTTTGAAAATCAGCAAAAAAAGCAAACAGAAAAAATAATGGTACAACATCAATAATAAACGTGACAATACAATACTTAGGTTCACCCCCACTCTTCCCAGGGATAAATACAAAAAAATCGATCGTACAAAAAAAAACAGAATTGTAGGAAATTTAATTTTAAACAACTTTGTTTATCACAATTTTTCTCGTAAAATTGAAAATAAACGAGTTATTCTATAACCAAAAATTCACCTTCTCTTTTCGGGTATAAATCGAAAAAAATCGATCGTACAAAAAAAAGCAGAATTGTAGGAAATTTAATTTTGAATAACTTTTGTAAAAACTATTTTCCGTGTAAAATTGAAAATAAATGAGTTATTCAAGATACAAAAAATAACCCTTTAAATCAAGATGGCGGAGGTAACGACAACTTTGGAATCCCAACTTTTTGAATTTAGACTACCAGAGACCCCCTCCAACGAATTCCGAAGGAAAATTGCTGCTTCGAATTTTTCAGAATCTAAAATACTAATCCGATTGGGCTAAGTAGTTACTTTTAAATGTTTCAAACTTTTTTTGGAATTCGCATATCAGGATTCCTCGGCGGACTCTTCTACATAATATAATTTTATATGTAACTATTCTATAGTAAACAGAATCTGTGTTATATTTAAAATTGAACATAAGCTTAAAATAATCCTTAATATTTATATTATTTTTATATTTTAATTTTTAGCAACGCCCAAGCCAATCCCCACCATTATCGTCGATGCAGCTCGGCAATCAAACGAACTTGACCGAATTCATAGCCTACTTGGACGAAATTCAACAACAGCCCTACATAGTGACGTACATCTGTTACCGACAATAGATATTTGCACTCTGGAGTTCCCCGACAACTACACCTTACAACATACCATGAAATCGCGCATAAACGCCTGCAATTTGAAGAAAATGTACGAGCAGAGTCAGCTTTTAGTGGAAAAAGACAGGTTAGAAAGGATAGCGACGTTGCCGGATTTAGTGGTGCCGTCGAATAGGCATATACGTCACCAACGTCAACATATGGTCGCAAAGCTTAGCGAGGATAACGAAAATAATGACTATGATATTAGGTCTAGAATAGTAGGGTATAAAGTTGTTGTGAGGCACGAAGATATGCAAAATTTCACTAATAAATTGAATTTTTCGATGACTCATCGATAAAAAACATCGAAATATAAATAAAAGAATTTGCAAATAGGTATTATAGGAGCAGTGCTGAAATTTTTAGAAACACTGAAATTTTCCTTACATTACTTTTTTTGTTTTTTACGCACGTATTCCTCTTTATAATCTTTACGAATTTATAGATTTAAAGTTTATCACTGGTGCAAACCTCATTACAAAATGCAATTTATGTAAACCAAAGGAAAGAAGCTATAAATAACTAGCTAAAGTCAAAACTCTATTTAGAGAACATTTTAAAAATCATTTTTTTTTAAAGATGGTCCTTGATAAACTAGTATTTTGATATTAAGATAATAAATCCAATATCAATATTTATATTTTATTATGAGCTAAACTATTTTCAGAAACTTCATTTTTAACTGTAGATTTTAAATGGTGACATAAGTTTATGGCACTGCAAATTTAGGTCGTTAACCGATAACGAAACGAAATATGCTCCAAAGGCATATTGTACTTTATCAAACGGAAGCTGCCACCAGTCACTATCCTTAGCATAATATATAAAAATATTATATTTTTAAAAAACTACGAAAGACGTGACAACGATAACCTTTAAATTTGCATTTTTATTATTTTTACCTACCTATTTTCACAGATAGTCAATATTAATTATAAACTATTCTTAAACAATTCTTTTAAACAATATTCATAGTAGTTTTTTGTCTTTTCTATGACAACATGTATAAATAAGTGTTTGAGTACAAAGGGGAAAAGAAAGTCAGAAAGTCAATTTATAGCTTATGGGGTCTATTCTGTAACTAAAGTTGTTATCTGGCAACTTTCTAACCACTTGCTATCTTACCACTTTCATAGCAACTGTATATAACAACTTTGACAAAAGTGGCTATTCTAGTATTCACGATTGTATATGCTGTATCATACACTTATGCTACCGACCAAGTTGTTATGATCAAGGTCACGTTGTTGTATTACCACTTTGAGAAAATCAGAATTCTCTAAGTTAAATCTGTAACAACTAGTGGTTACAAAAGTGGATTCAGAGTTATTTGGAAGCAACCAAATATTCTTGATGGTTAAGCGTAACAACTAGTTACTAAGAAAGAAATATTATGGACCCTGGATAATAAATATTTTAATAGACCAAGAAATTAATGAAACGTATATTTACTGATAGAATAATAGATATCTCAGAACTAAATAGATATATTATTTTCTCTAATAGTTTGATTTAGGAATGAAGTAAGATTTCAGCAAAGGCTACACTACTCCTTACGAACTGTATATGTAAGGATGAGTGACCCTCCATGTCACTTAGGTCCTAATAGGCCCATTGTGCATCCTTCACGGGAATTTAAGACCTGCCTCTCAGCTCTCCAAAATGTCTGCTGGTTGATATTATAACGTCATTGAGAGCTGTCTATAGGAACCACCTCTTAGATCATCAAAAGGCCTGCATGTCTCCTTGCGATAAAATTGCACATTTAAATTTTCCTGTCTTGATAAAAGTTTACAACTACGACATATTTATGATTTTTTTAAATTTTAAATCAGTCCACCAACAAAAATAAAAAGTCTCAAATGATAAATTATATTTCACTTAACATCCATGACCGGAAGATATAAACCTCATTGGTCCTGTCTCTTCTGACTTGAAGGTTAAGTTATTAAAAGCCTGGTTTACACCACACATATAACTTTATAGCGACCGTGAATACTAGAATAGCTACTTTGTCAAAGTTGTTATACGGTTGCTATAAAAAGTAAGTATGGTGTATATCAGGCTTTTAACAACTTAACCTTCGAGTCGGAAGTGCCGGGACGTCAAGTGAAGTATAATTTTATCATTTGGAAATGGTTACATTTTGTTGGACTGGCTTGAAATTAAAAAAAAATTAATACAGCAAATAAATGTATTATGCAATTTTATCTCAAGTAGATCGATGTGCAGGTCTTTTGACGATCTGAGAGGTAATCATCCCTATATAAATCTCACCTGAAAGGCAGCTGCGGAGGATGTACAATGAGCTCGAGGCTATTAAGGCCTAACTAATGTAAGGGGAACACACCTTACAGATACAGATTACAAGCAGTAAATAGTAAGCTTTGCTAAAGTCCTACTTCATTCTTAAAACAAATCATTACAAAAAAATATGATAGAAGTACCAATTATCTTATCAATAAACATATCTCCTATTAATTTCTTGATATATTTAAATATTTATTATCCAAAGGCCTATATTTCTTTCTCAGCAAGTAGTTGTTATGCTTAAGCACCAAGAATATTTGACTGCTTCTAAGTCACTCGAAATCCACTTTTATAACCACTAGTTGTTACAGATTTTACTTTAGAGAATTCCGATTTTTTCAAAGTGGTAACATAACGACTGACCTTGGTCTAAGCCACTTGCTAGCTAGTAATTGCATGACACAGAATAGACTACTATAGCTTATCCGTAGTGGATATGTCATGGTAAGTCAAATTATTATTAAATAATTTTCACCTTTCAATACATTGACTCCATGACTTTCCATTTAGGTGTGCCTGACGATGAAGTCATCGCCAATAAATTGACTTTGTGAAAAATTAAAGACCTTTCTTTTTACCTTCGTACTCAATTCCAACCACTCTCACATATGGCTACCCTTGCCACTAAACAACAATAAGTATACAAATAAAGAAATCAACAAATTCTTTTTTTTATTTTTTTATTTTGGTTTTTATCTATTAATCATGGATAGATCTTTTTGTGCAATGTACTCAAGAAATATTTGAATATGTTATTTTCTGAAAAACATCCAGGACCAACAAAATTATCGCTGTCATGATTTATGTGATTTTTTAAATATAATTTTGTTTTAATTACTTTGCTCAGGATAGTGATTGGTACAGGTAACGTTTCGTAAAGTACAATGTTTTTACATAACTTGGGGGCATATTTCATTTGATGACGTGAAAATAACGTTATGGTAACGTGATAATGTCACAGCGAAATGACGTCATTCCATATCGTCATTTTGACGAACCGTTATCACGTTAAAATAACGTGTATATCGGGTGTACTAGGCTAGGCAAATTGACGTCATTATCACGAATCTACCTAACGTCAAAGTGAGTCTATATTTGGTGCAAGGTTGAATTATTAAAAATACTAAGCAGATGAAAGTTATTTATTTAATCCAAAAAACACATGAAAAGTATATTATAAAAATAAATTACACTGGTAAATAAAAAGGTCGTGAGCAAGAAACCAAAAGGAATCAAATGACAAAAGATTATTAGAGGAACTGACAAAACATACCTAAAATTGTAGATTTGATTTTAATTGGGGGTGGGCGAGCATGCTTTACGATTTCATCATCTTCAGTATCATCTAATGACAGCTTTCTAGCAGGAGCGGCTCGTCTCCAAAATTTTGGGGGATCACAGTAGCAGAACATAGATCCCGGTACAGTTTTAGGTAAAATACTATCAGTGTTTTAGAAAGGTATATTATAAACTTTCTAAAACACTGAGTTTTTTCATACATTTGTACTGATACCTACATTCTGTCACTGTGAACCCCCTCACAAGCCGCCACTGCTTTCTAGTTGGCACCTGTTTTCTTTTAGTAGGTACTTTATGAGCCTTGGAATGTAGATTTGAGGTAACTTTTTTTAATTTGGTACATAACTTCATCATTATCGTCTAAAATAAAAGAACTATTAAAATACAGACCACTGAAAATTCTTAAAGATAGAAAGTAAATTGTGTATCTAGTTGTAAAAACTACCTTCTCAGAGGTATACATATAGTCTGAGTGTATAATAAAAGTTAATAAAAAAAAAGATCATATATTCTGTGAGATGATAAAAGGTATCTAAATCAAGTGATCCCCTACAAATCTTTTATTTTTAAATAAACTGTTAAAAAAGAACTCATAATCAAAAAATAAAATTATAACATTACTCACCAGTCTTATAGTATATTTCTGTATATATTTATTTGTAAAGTCGGCCAAAAGACTTGTTTTTTACGCAGCGTCAGCCATTTTCTGCTCACCTCATAACCGCCAGACCGTCATCATCCGGTTTTTCAAACTCAACAATGCAATACATCTGTAAAATACCAAATTCGCTTTAATATTCTTTATTATTTTGTCACATTCTATTTTTTACCTTTTTCTAAAGCATCTTATCAAATAAAGTACAATTTAAAAATGCACCATGTTCACAAGGTCAAGACTGTCACTCACGAGAATCATGAAGATAGATTAAACAGGAAACAACAATGACAATTGACAATATGACATTGCTAGAAATATATGAAAAAATAACGTAATTATGAGGAATTCTAAGAGACGTCTATTCTATGTCATAAACGTCAAATACACGTTACTGATTAGGATATTGTATTTCGGATAAATTAATACTAAAAAATTACGCCATAATGACGAGTCTGTATTGTCGTCTAATTAACGTTGCAAAAACGACGTCAAAGTAACGTCATTAATTGGGATAGTGACGTTTCTGACGAGCAAACCCAAAAAATCACGTCATAATGACGCCACCTTGCTGCTTGGGAAATATTACTATAAATATTTTGATATTTTCTAACTTCTTCAATTATGTCATTCTTATGTTAAGTACATAACAAAATTTTAACTTTTATTGCAAGTTTTAAATAATGGTTCTGATACAGGTTTTTTTATATTTAACATAACATTTGTCATAGTGAGGTATGCGTTATTTACGCTAAACAGATGAGAAGAGAATTTAAAAATATCGAAATGCTTATACCTATATTTATTTACATTGTTAACATTTACGTTAAAGAGAAACATACATCTGATATTTAAATTTACATAATAAGTATTTATGAGACCAGTTACGAAATACCTTATTTTATGTAACGAGTGAATATTTTCGGTACAAGCAGAGCGAGGTCCCGCAACATGAACAAGTTACATAAAAATGCATTTCGTAACATGTTCATGTTTTTTTCTAATATTGACTAGATTGTTTATAAAATTGTGTTT